AAAAAAAATTTTTTTTAAAAAAAAATTTTTTAACATTTATTTATTTTTGAGAGAGACACACACAGCATGAGCGGGGGAGGGGCAGAGAGAGAGGGAGACACGGAATCCAAAGCAGGCTCCAGGCCCTGAGCTGTCAGCACAGAGCCGGATGTGGGGCCCCAACTCATGAACAGCGAGATCACGAACTAAGCTGAAGTCGGACGCTCAACCAACCGAGACAGCCAGAGCCCCATTAAAGACACAATTCGTGATCTGTTGGTTTTGTTTATTGTTCCCTTCGGTTTATAACACTATTGCTTACCGAGTGTACTGTATGCCCTGCTCTGTTGTGAGTTCTTGCCACAGATTCCTCATTAATCCTCCTGGTGACCCTGAAGGAGGTAACACCACCGTTCTGATTTACAGTGAGGGCTCTGAGGCCCAGAGAGGTGACTTCACTGGCCCAGACTCTCAGCTAGTACCTGAGAAACAATCTGGCTTCGGGGTCCATGCATCTAATCTCTTCACTACATTACATATCCTCTTTTGTATGCAGCCAATGTTACACTAAAAACTGAGAAGTGGTATCTGTACGTGATGAAAAACGCAAAGTGTCCAGAGGATGTATGGGTACAGGTAAGTCTCCCTCCCATTTCTAACCCTAGCTCAGTCCCCTTTACCAAAGGCAACTCTATGACCAGTTTCTTGTCTAGAAATAATCTGTACTTAAAGAAGAAATGCATATAACATCCCCATTACCTGCCCCATTTTTTTTTTTTCCAATGCAACTTTTTAGCACACTGTTCTGTACTTTCCACTTTTTCTAAGCAATGATACTACCTTGGAACTCTTTCATAGCAGCACATGCTTCATTTACTATTATCCGACTATCTGCCTCATAACTCATTTTACCAAGCTATTACCATCAACAGACATTTAGATCACCGAACACTTACAACTGCAAACAGGACTGCAGCAACTATCTTTGGCCTCATATCTTTACGCACCTATTCGAGTTTAACTGTGAGATGAACTCCTAAAAAAGAACTGCTGGATCAAAGGGTCCCTGCATGTTAAATATCAATGGGCCCTGCCACATAGCCTTCCCACAGGCAGTGCCCAATGACACCCCAGAAAACACATGGCTGTCCCGAGCAGTCCACGTCCATGTCACACGGCATGTTATCCATTCTCTTGATCTGGGCACTTCTGCTACCTAAGATCTTTTCTCTAAGAAAGGACTCGCTTCCTTCAGCTGTTAGGAAAAGGGCCAAAGCTCTCCAAGAACAGGAGTGTTCTGAGCATTTCCTGCCCCTCTGCTCCCTGGTTTTCCCTCAGGTAAGAGGGTCCTAAGAAAGGGAGGATGGCATTCCAAGTAGCTCTCCCTTACATGCACGTGGGGAACAGGCACTGTTGAGTATGGCTGGAGGGAGTATCTGGTATGATCTTTTCAGGGGCCAGTATTCGGCCACAGACATCAAAAGGCTTTCAAATCATATACATTCCCTTTGCCCAGTAATATGACCCATACGGATTTGCCACGTAAAAAATCTTCAGGGTCCATGTCAGATAAAATACCACATCTTCGGGGCACCTGGGTGGCTCAGTTGGTTAAGCGTCCAACTTTGGCTCAGGTCATGATCTCACGGTTCATGAGTTTGAGCCCCACGTCAGGCTCTGTGCTGATAGCTCAGAGCCCACTTTGGATCCTCTGTCCCCCTCTCTCTGCCCCTCCCCCACTCATCCTTCTTTCTCTCTCTCCCTCAAAATAAAAAAACTTAAAAATATTACATCTTCATTTTCACTAATCTCTAACTGAAATTTAGTATTTACATCAATTACGAACAATGGAAACATCACAGCAATGTTAGCAGTGAACTCTGATATTTTCATGGCACGTTATACAGCTGAAGATATCTCAAAATATCATTTGCACTCATTGCTACTTCAAAATTAGATTCTTATCAGACCCTCCACTAAATCTTGTTATTTCAGCACATTCCTAACGAAACACACATGTTCTTTGAGTATTTAGGTACCGTATTTCAGTATAATTGTTCTCTCTGGAATCCTACGTATTTTTTCCTTAAGCATTTCAGAACACAATTCTAAGAAGGGGCCCACAGACTTCACCAGACACCAAAGAAGCCACAGCACAAAAAAGGTTAAGAACCCCTGGTCTAGGCAATACCTTGTGTCTATGAGTCTAAACACGTATGAGAGTGTTCCCAGCAGTGCTGCTTGTAATAATGAAAAACGCAAACTCCAATGTCCAACAAGAGATTGGTTACATAAAACAGATTATGGAAAAAATACTATGCAGCCATTGGGAAACAAAAGGGTATTTCAAGGATGAGGACGATGACAGCATGAGCACTTAAGTGCCATATGTTGCTCAGGAAACTTTCTTTGAGAGACCAAACAGCAACTCACCCAGGGCCACATGGAGAAGAGAGCAGAGCCAGGCCACAAGGGACCCAGGCCTGTTGGCCTCCACCACCCTGTCCTGCCTACATCGAGGTCGTCTCAGCTTCCCACGAGAAGCACAGACTTCAGTTTTTTAAAGGATAATACTACTGTGACTGTTTTAAAAGGATTGATGTTTGGGGAATATATGAAGAAATATTTGGGGGTAAAATCATGTATTTGGGATTTGCCACATCATCCAATAGTGGGCAGGAATGAAGAGGAAGAAGCAAAACGATCGGTACTAAGGTGTTAAGTGTTGACACGAGGTGACGGGACATGGAGGCTCCATACACTATCCTACTACCGTGTGTGTTCGACATTTACCAAAAGAAAAACCTTTTGGAAAAACTCATTCGAGAAATAGAACCGAAGGTACAAGTCCGGCCAACGCTCAGCACCTGCCAGCCCTGTGACATACCAGCCTCGTCCAGAATGAAGCCGCCATGGCGGGGTTTCTTGGGAGGCCTGTCATCATCTTCCTCTTCCTCTTCCTCATCATATTCTTCCTCCTCTTCCTCCTCCTCTTCTTCCTCGGGCTCTTCCTCCTTCTCGCTGCCTGCTACACTCCGCCGCTCTTCTTCTACCTGCAGGGTTACAAAAGGTTGGGGCACCAGGGTTCGGTACCCCAAAATCCAGATACCAAGCTCCCCAACCCCAAATCTGACCTTAGTTCTGGCTGGCTAGTCATAAGCCCCTCTGCTCTGCATACCCTCCCTTCCACCCCAGCCTCTCTGGGAGCCATCCGACCTCAGTGATAGCACTGCCACCCAGTCAACCAATACCTGGGAGCTGACCCAGACTGCCTGCTCCACTAGACCTCCTTGCTAGCCTCCACCTGGCCCGTAAATGTTTTAGCTCCATGAGGTCGGTCCTCGGCCCTCATCTCTTTCCACTCTACAACTCCCCAGGCCGCCTCATCCACTCCCTCAGCTGGTGGGCATCTCTGTGACTATGATTCCTAGATCTCCGGTTCCAGTCTACACTGCTCCCCAAGGTCATCGCCTGCCTCTTGTTGCTAATTCCGAGGACAATCTTCAGTTGTTACGTACAAGACACTTCACACCACTGCCTACTCCCTCCCTAAAGAAATGCTCTTCCCTTGACATCTGTCACATCACATTCTCCCAGCTTTTCTCCAACTTCTCTGGCTGGCCCTCTGCAGGCCCCTCTTCCTCTCTCACCCCTCAAGTGCTGGCTTCAGTCCCCAGGGTTCAGCCAGGGGCCCGCTCTGCTTCTCCCTGCATACACTCTCCCACTGGGCCACTTTACCTTCCAGTCCCAGTTCCTGTCTCTGCAGGTGATACCTCATCTGTCTCCAGCTCCCCACTTTCTTCCAGAACTAGAGGCCCCCCATATGTCAGCAGCCTCCACAGATGCCTCCCTTAGATGCCTTCTGAACCCTTCATGCCCACCGTGTCCCACACTGATCTCAACGTCTTCCCCTAGACCTGTGCTGGCTCCCTCTAGCTCTCATCAGGCACCAAACTCTTGACATTTCTGCTTTTGGAACATTGTCCCTCCAAGCTGTCCCTTCTCCCCCATCCCTACAGCCCTAGCCTAGGCCAGATCACTGCCCTCTAAAACCTAGCCCCTTGCCCAGCCTCCTTTCTGGGTCTCTTGGCCTCCAAACCAGTCACAAAAGGAAATGACCCAGACAAAACAGTGTTCCCCAAACTTCAATCTTTTCCGCACTAACTACCCATCTTCTTGCCAAGTTCACATCAGTTCAACCTGTTTATCTGGTATTTTAAATTCACTCATGTTTTTATTTAACTTAACAAAGAAACTTTTCCAAACTTTGGAATATTTCAGAAACAAAAACATTTTTAAAGTTAGCTTGTTACAAGTAAAAAGTAACCATAAAGATAAAAGCAAAACAGGGGCGCCTGGGTGGCTCAGTTGGTTAAGCGTCTGACTTCGGCTCAGGTCATGATCGCACGGTTCACAAGTTTGAGCCCCGTGTCGGGCTCTGTGCTGACAGCTCAGAGCCTGGAGCCTGCTTCGGATTCTGTGTCTCCCTCTCTCTCTACCCCTCCCCACCTCTCAAAAATAAATAAAAACATTAAAAAATTATGATCTAAAATATGAAACTGATCATTTGGTCCCCTGCTTAAAACAGGGCCAGGGCTCCCCACTGCCCCCAGGTAAAGAACCAGCTGCTTAACAGCTTAGACTAGAAGCACACACTCTGCTACTGCCTCTCCTTCTTATCCTGCCTCTTCGGGCTCCCCCTCCCAAGTGCTAGGTCCCAGCCACACTGAACCATTCGTTCCATACTCTCTCAGTGCTAGTATCATCCGTGCTGGTCCTCTGCAAAAAAAAAAAAAAAAAAAAAAAAAAAAAAAGTTCTTTTGCCTCTCACTCATACTTCAATCAAAATACTCCCCCTTCTAGAAAGTTATGCCTACCCCCTACCCCAGCAAAGTCAGGCACATCCTCTGAGCTTCCTCCATCACAGCCCCGACCACTGTGAGCTCTCTCAGGCTATCTCAGGCATTGCTGGGTCCCCAACATTACCCAGTTCAGGAATGGGAACAGAAGACAACTTAAACATTTGTTTAGTACATACTCCTGACTCATCCACAATGTCCCGCCTTTTAACAACTCAAACGACTCTGAGTAGCCTGATTTCAAGGAACCCTGTCTTCATTCCCCTGGCTCAGTCCCAGCAAAGCCTTCTTTCCAAACCTGGCTCCCTGATCCCTGAGGAAAAGAGCTCCCATTACTATTTGTGTTATCTTGGGGCTGGAACGTGCTCTTACACTGTCTGTCCTCAGCATCCCCTGAAGTAACCACTGGTTTATAAAACTATCTCCCCTCCAGGACAGAGAGCTCCATGAAAGAGCCTGTGATCCCAGCCTGATAGGAACACTTGCTGAATGAATGAATGAATGTGCAGGTTACTGTGGCTGAGAATGGGGAAACCACTGATTCCCCCAACAGTGGGTCATCATCTGCCATCCCAACCTTCTATCCACAGGACCTGGTCCTTCAAGGACCATGCTAACCTTTGGCTATCCAAAAAGCCTATCCAGTCCTATCTCTAGCTGGCCTCTCACTGTCCTCCTGCCTCATCTAGTGACGGGAGACAAGTGAGCAGGTGAGTCAAGAGCCTGGTGTGGTGTTGGGGAAGTGAGATTTGCACAGAGCAAACCAGATGTCCCAGCCAGGAAAAGGACCCAGGGATCCTGGCCTCATTACCACCAGGCTTTAACCACAAGCAAAGTGTCTTGAAGCCATGAGTCAGGGAGACCAAGAACCCAGTGCTGCTGCTCGAAGCAAAAACCCTTCCTAGCATCCTCCCACTTGCCTCACCCCCACCATGGCTTCCTGACTCTTCCAACTCTTCGCTGGAAGCTGAGGACTGCCCACAGGGCACAAGGATTGACAATCAAATGCCTACCAAGGGCAAGCAGAGAACAAAAATAAATGGGGCAGCTCAAAGGAAACCCATGGCACTCTCCATCTACCTGATTTTTCCTAGGACACAAGTAAAGGAAAACTTCCTTTTACCTAAATCTTCTGCCACAAGGCAGGCATCATGATAAATGGCAACTGATATATCCCAGGAATTGGAGAAAATTCCCCATTTTAAAGCAGGCTGCCATTTCTTGAGCAAAGAGCTGCTTGCTGGCTCCTCTAATTTTCCCAGAAAAGCAGAAAAATCATGATTTTTACATGAAATCGCCCTTGCAAGTGTTGGCAACTACCTTTAAAAAAACTGATCTATGTTTCTGTAGGTTAAAGGAGACATCTATAATCATCCAGTCATCTCTGTTAGTTTGTAACTGTTGCCTACTAAGTGTAAACTCCCTGAAAGCAAAAATTTGCCTTGTTCTATTCTCTCCAACACCTAGGAAGAACCTGGAACAAAGCTGTAGATGCTCAAACATTCATTTGCTCGATAAATAAGTTAGAAATAAACAGACAAGGAAAATAGCTAAAAGGAGACTATTTAAAGTCAGTTATGTCCCAGGAAATGTTTATTTGACTCCTGAAACAGTGATCCTTTTAAAGCATTAGATCACATCCCTTCTTTGCTCAAAACCTCAAGGCTCTGTTGCACTCAATCAGGACAAATTCCTCACCAGAGGCTTCAAGATCCTATATGATCTGGCTCCTGTCACTTTCTTGTGGCGCTCACTCTGATCCAGCCAAACTTGACTCCTTGTTACTTTTTGAACACGCAGACATGCTCCCAACTTGGCACTTGCTGTTCCCCCCTTACTGGAACACTTCTCTTCCACACATGACTCACTTTCTCACCTCCAACACATCTTTTTTCAAATATCACTCTCTCAGACTCACCCTATTTAAAACTGACCCAAGGCTCCCTATTCCCCTTCCCTGCTCTTCTCCAAAGTACTTTCTGCTTTACTAAATGATACACACATCAGTCACGTTTATGTTCACAGGGGCAAAGACTTTCAAAATGTTTTACTAGTGCAGCCCAAGGGCAAAAAAGTGTGCCTAGTACACAGTAGGCACTAAAAATATATTTCTGAAATGACCGTGCATACTCCAAAATAAAAGCTAACAGCGGGTGCTTCCTACATGCCAGGTCCTCTAAACACATCACCTGTGGGGCTCCTGGTTTGCTCAGTCGGTTAAGCCTCTGATTTCAGCGCATGTCATGATCCGATGGTTCATGAGTTTGAGCCCCGCGTCAGGCTCTGTGCTGACAGCCCGGAGCCTGCGCCTGCTTCAGATTGTGTGTCTCCCTCTTTCTGCCCCTCCCTAGCGCATGCTCGCTCTCTCTCTTAAAAATGAATAAACTTTTAAAAAATTAAACACATCACATGTTATTTCACTGTATTTGGAGCATCCCTGGCCTCTCGCACCTGTCCTTCTGCTTGACTTCGGCTCGCCTACTTCTCTGTCACTACCAACAATCTGGAGGCTCCCAGAGGCCAGAGCTCGTTCTGATACCCTCCGAGCTCCCACAGGGGCCTTTCTGTCCCGGTCCTGTCCCCAGGCTCAATGCCTCCCCACAACGTCCCAGCCACACACCTCGGCCTCCTCGCCGTCACTGCTGCGCTCGCTGTCCTCCTCCTCGGAGAAGTTGCTGTCCTCACTGTCCGACATCTTCTGCTCTTGCAGGAAAAGACGGCCTCAGTGCGTCCCCCAAACAGCAGCCCCACCCCTGCCTCGGTTTCCCCGCCGGTTCCCGGAGAGAAAAAAAAAATCCCTCAGCGCACTTCCGGCAGCCTGGTTCTGGCAAGGGTGAACCCGAAAGGCTACCCCTTAAGCTATCTGCTACACCTTCCGTGTCCCGGAATCCGGTCTCTAAAGCCTCCCTATGCCCCGGCGACCCCCGGTCCTGCCACCACGGCGTCCTACCCACCCCTCACCGCTCCGGTTCCACCTCAACCTTCGGTACCAGCAGCTGTTCACACGACGCCTGGCTGGGACTGATGTGCCCTCTCGCGAGAACCTACGCGTCGACCTCGCTTAACGCGAGATTTCCGGGGCTAGTCCCCGGCGACGCACTTCCAGGACGCCATCTTGAAAGTGGCAGATCCGGCTCAATGTAGAGCATGGAGTCGACATCTTGGGAGGGTCAAAGAGGAAGGATGGTTACTCCCCTTCTGGACGGCACTTCCAACCGGGAATTCGTGTTTGAATTTAATAGTGTGGTGTGCCAAGCCGTGAAGAGGCAGGGAATGACCAAATAATAATGAGTTAGCAAATAAATCAGACTTTATCTCCTACCTCCAAAACATTCCTCGGAGGTAAGTACCCCCATTTTGCTGACAAGGAAACTGAAGCTCAGAAAATAAACTGGACAGGGGCAGACCTAAGACTCCTTCCCCCAAGTTTGAGTGACTCTTAAAACTCTGGTTTTCCTTTACAAATCCCGAAGTTTAAATCAATGTGAATTTACATATTAGTAATTATTTGTCAGACAGATGGCAAAGAGGACCAGGCATGATGAGACAAGGATAAGAAAAATTCACTCGATGAAGAGGGAAAAAATGAGAAACTTTTTTAAAAAGTGTTTTTATTTTTGACAGAGAGAGAGAGAGCGCGCGCGCGCGAGCGAGCATGAGTCGGGAGGGAGAGGGAGACACAAAATGTGAAGCAGGCTCCAGGCTCTGAGCTGTCAGCACAGAGCCGGACGCAGGGCTCCAACTCACCGACCAGGAGATCATGACCTGAGCCAAAGTTGGACGCTCAACCGACTGAGCCACCCAGGCACCGCGCCCCCCCCCACCCCAAATCAGAAACTTTTAAAACACATTGCTAAAAATTTCTTGCATAAGCATTGAGACACCTGGATTCAGTTTACAGAAATTTAATATGCACCTGGTTACAGAGTAAGATGGTGTGGTCAGGCCAACAGTGGGCTCACAAGACACTATCAGGGAATGAATACACCACAGGTGTGTCTGTGTGAGCACACACTCCTTGATCCAACAATCTCAGCCTGAACCCAAGACAGACTGGGGAGGGGCTGGTCATTCTATAAAAATGTTTTCCCTTCTATGAGCTTGGTCCCCACATGTTTATACATATTTAATAATTAGGCTTCATGCGTCTAGTGGAGCCCGATGCAGGGCTTGAACTCGTGACCCTGAGATCAATAGTTGGACATGCAACTGACTGAGCCACCCAGGTGCCCCCAAGTTTGATTCTTTTAAACACCAGCTCTTTAAAATAGGATCCCACATGTAAAATGCCTATTGACACTGCTGCAGAAAGCTATTTACTCCAGGAAAGTGAGGGAGCAGTAATTTTCTCCTCGTAGAAGGTTCTTCCTTGGTGTCTCAGTGGTTCTCAACCCTACCACTATGTAAGAATATATAAGAAGATAAAAGAGAGATGTGCGATAGCCCCAAAGTGGAAACAACCCAATGTCCACCATGAGGAGAATGGATAAACCAATTCGGGTGCATTCATACCATGGAATAGTAACAAACTGCTGATACGCATGTGAGTGAATCTCAAAAACATCATGCTGAGTGAAAGAAGCCGGACACTAGAATATGTATAGTATGATTCCGTTCATATGAATCTCTAGAGGAGGCAAAGCTAATTCTATACAGACAGGAAGCAGATTAATGGATGTCTACGACTGGACGTGAAGACTGGGAAGGGGCATAAGGGATGATGCTTTGGGGTGATGGAAATGTGGCTGTGTGTATATATTTGTCAGAACTCATTGAAATGCACGTTTAAAACGTATGCTTTTTACTGTATACAAATTACACATCAATAAAGTTGTATTTTCAATAAAGTTGATTTTCAAGCTATAGCTGTTCAGGATGCACCAGAGACCAATTATCAACATCTAGCCTAACCATCAGTGTCACCCGAAAGCTCTCCAGATGGTAATTATTTGCAGCCAGGGACATGAGGCACAAGACTCTCCCTGTCCTGTAGGGGTGGGGTGAGGTTGGAAGACACCTGTGCAATGCTTTGTCCCTTCCTGAATGAGGAGAGAGGAGGGAATACCTCAGATGGAGAAGAGGGGCAGGTGGGGGCCAATTTACCTAACCCCCTACCCCTGTAGGTCAGAGACTTCAGGCTTCAGATTTTCCTCCTCCTCTCTTCCCCTTGGTTCCATGGGCTCCAGATGGGGGCCTCTGGCCCAGAAGGAGAAGGCTTTGGATTGGCAGCTGGGACTGGAGACCAAGTGCCCTCTGTCTCACACCTCCCGGGCCCTCCGGCAGTACTAGGGAGTCTGTGTCCTCCCAGGCTCATGCTGAGGGCAGGTGCCTAGCACAAGCCCCCTGTAATAACTCCAAGAGCTTGGCCAGAAAGAGGGGGACGGGTCTCTGGGGATGTCCTTCACAGGGTGGACAAGGACCCTGGCCAGTCACCCACAGCCGGGACCCCAATGCATCCAGCAAACGCTGTAGCCGGAACACAGCAATCCCCATGGATCGGCCCTCTTCGAACTGGATCACAGAAAGCTCCAGCCGGAAGCATCCCAGAGTCTCAGCAGGACAAACCTGTGGGGACAGAGTGACTTGGTGTCTCTGGGCAAGGGTCTGATCCCAAATCCCCAAACCTAGGGTTTCTGAATTATGTCCTGGCATAAGCCCCTTCACCTCTTTGGGCCTCAGTTTCCTCATCTGTAAAACAGAACTCTGAATAATCCCTATCTTCAGGGATGATGCTAGCCTATACTGTCTGTGCCTGTGTAAGTTAGAAAATGACACTTCTTGGGGCGCATGGGTGGCTCAGTCGGTTAAGCATTCAACTTCGGCTCAGGTCCATGACCTTGTGGTCCGTGAGTTCGAGCCCCGCCTTAGGCTCTATGCTGACTGCTCAGAGCCTGGAGCCTGCTTCAGATTCTGTGTCTCTTTCTCTGCCCCTCCCCCCACTCGTGCTCTGTCTCTCAAGAAAGAATAAACGTTAAAAAAATTAAAAACAATAAATTTTTAAAAAATAAAACAATACTCCTTAAAACACTTCCAAGTGCTGATTTTGTCGGAACCAGATATTTCATTGCCATCTACCAGAAATTGACAAAAATATCCAGGATGTGGATGCTGACCTTGTTGTGGGATTCTTGTGCAGCGTACATCCTTCACATCCATACATGGTGGCCCTGTCTACCTCACAGGGTCAGTGTGAAGACTAAGTAAGCTAATATAGTTAAAGCGTTTAGGCCAGTACCTGGCAGAGTGAGCACTATTAAAAATGTCGCTATCATCATCAGTATCTGTTGTTAGGTGCCAGCTGCTGTTCTCGGCGTGGGAGACAGCAGTGAACGAAATGTATTTGTGATGGCTGGGAGCTGGGTCAGCAGCTGGACAGCCAGAACACCAGCCTGCTGCCTCCTGCCCCAAGCATACATGTGTTCTCAGCCTAGTGGAATTTCCCTAAATTTCCAACTCCAAGTAAAAAGCTAATGAAATACTCACGGAGAGATCATCAGGGGTGTAGAGAGTGCCATCATTTTTGTTTCCCTACAATTGGGGGCAGGGAACAGAATCAGATCTTGGAAGGGAGAGCCTGACCTTTCCTCAAACGTGCCCCACACCCTACCGCCTCCCTGCCTGTCTGCTGGCTCTCCCCTCCATCTTCCTCACCAGCATCTTCATGATGGCAACAAGGAAGTAGAAAGGCTCCCGAGGGCAGAGGGGTGATCCTAGGCCTCCCAAGGGCCATACCAGCAGAAGGATGGTCCAGAGAGGCCACATGGGCACCCTGCCCACCCCCCAGGCCTTTTCTGGTCCCAGCCCAGGGTCCTGGAAGCAAGAAGTACAGGAACACTTGAGTGGCTCTGTCGGTTAAGTGTCCGGCTCTTGGTTTTGACTCAGGTCATGATCTCACAGTTCACGGAACAGAGCCAGTGTTGGGTTGTATGCTGACAAGCTCGGAACCTGCTTGGGATTCTCTCTCTCTCCCTCTCCCTCTGCCCCTCCCCCACCACGCACGTGCGCACAGGCAGTCTCTCTCAAAATAAGTAAACAACAACAAAAACAGAAG